TTCACCATGTAAGAACTTTTTCACTATGTAAGAATTTGTTCACCATGTAAGAACTTGTTCGTTATGCTTCAGAAGATTGGAGACTGACGAGAATTAGGCTTGGGGTGGATTAATGATTGTTCATTGAGCATTGAGTCCCCTATACAGAATTTTATTGTTGTTCACAACCATTTGATCAATAAATATGAGAGATGCCCTCTCAGAAAAAAAAAAAAAGAAATAGTTAAAGGTATATTCCTTATCTTGTTCTTGAGCATAAGAGGAAATCATCCAGTTTTTTACTGGTATGTATGCTGTTTGTTAGATGTAGGTTTTCCATACTATATATGTGCTTTATCAGGTTAAGGAATTTCCTGCTACTTTAGTTTGCTGAGAGTTTTTAATCATATATGGATCTTAAATTTTCTTATGCTATTTCTTCATCTGTTGAGATGATCATAGGTTTTTTCCTTTGTTAGTGTATTGATAGGGTAAATTACATTGATTAATTTGCTAGTGATAAAACAGACTTTCATTTTGGAGAAAAACTCTACTTGGTCATGAAGTACTCTCCTTTTTATACATTGATATGAGTTGTGTATATATGGATTTGAGTTGTTAAAATTTTGTTGAGGAGTTTTGCTACTATGCTCATGAGGGCTATTGGTTTATAGCTTTTTTTTTATTGTAAGAGCTTTCTCTAGTTTTTACATCAGGGTAATGTTTGATCTCACAATATGAGTTGGGAAGAAATGCCTTCTCTTATGTTTTTCCAAGAAACTCATGTAAAATTGCTATTATTTCTTAATTTTTTTGTAAAACTTCTTAAACTTGTGGTAGAATTCACCAGTGAAGCCATCTGGGCTAGAGTATTCTTTGTGAGGAGGTTTTTAATTATGAAGTTTTTAATTGGGTTATCTATTTCTTTTTTAGTAGTTTGTGTCTTTTAAGAAATTTATCTATTTCATTTGTTATAAAATTTATTGGCATAAAATTGTTCATATAAACTTACTATTTTTTTAATGACTAGGGATCTATAATGATGTCCTCTAATTTCTAATATTGGTAGTATGTTTCTTCTGTCTTTTGTGATAAGTCTTGATAAGAGTTTATCAATTTTATTGATCTTAGAACCAACTTTTGGATGTATTAATTTCCTCTATTATTTTTCTGTTTTCTATTTCACTGATTTCTGCTCTGATCTTTATTACTTCTTTTCTTCTGCTTACTTTGGATATAATTTGCTCTACTATTTCTAGTTTCTTAAGGTGAAAGGGTAGATCATTTACCAAGATATTTTTTCTCTTCTGATATAGTCATTTGGATAAATTTTCCTGTAATCACTGCTTTCTAAGTTGCATCTTATAGTTTTCATATATTGTATTTTTATTTCTATTCTGTTAAAAATTTTTATTAGCTTCCCTTCTGACTCCTCTGACCTATAGGATTTTTAGAAGTATGCTATTTAGTTCCAAGTATTTGAGAATTTTCCAAATAACTTTCTATTTTTGATTTCTAAATTAATTTCATTGTGGTCAGAGATCATAGTTATGATTAGAATTCTTTTAAATTTACTGATGCTTTTTTGTTGTAGCCCAAATTTGAACTATTTTGGTTAATGTTTTATGTACCCTTGAAAATTGTATTCTGTTGATGTTAGATGGAGTGTTCAATAAAAGTCAATTAGATTAAGTTGGTTAAGAATGTTGATCAAGTCTTCTATATCCTCACTGAGTTTTTGTCTATTTGCTTTATGCTTTGGAGAGGAGTATTGGAGTTTCCAACTATAACCATAAATTTGACTGCTTCTTTTTCAATTCTTTCCATTTTCTTCTTCATATATTTTGAAGCTCTGTTAATACATTCTGCATACACATTTAGGATTGCTGTTTTCTTGAATTTACCCCTTTTTAATTATGTAATATTCCTTTTTATTTCTGCTAATATTTCTCTTTCTGAATGTACTCTGAATATATGTAGTCTCACTAGCTTTCTTTTGATTAGTATTTATATAGCATGTCTGTATACATACTTTTACACTTCACCTATTTGTGTCTTTAAATTTTTTTTCACCTGATTTAAAAAATTTTTTATTGAAGTATAGTTGACATACAATATTATATTGGTTTCAAGGGTACAACATAGTGGTATGACATTTATATACATTACAAAGTGCTCACCACAGTAAGTGTAGTTGTCATCTGTCACCACACAAATTAATATTGTATTATTATTATTGACTATATTCTGTAAGCTGTGTGTCTTTAAATTTAAAGTAGGTTTCTTTTATTTTTTAAAAAAAATCCAATCTGGCAAATTTTTATTTTTAATTGAAATGATTAGAACACTGGCATTTACTGTTTGTAAATATGATTGGGATTAAATCTTTGGCTATTTTTATTTTATTTGTCCCATTTTGCTATATATACCTTATTTGTCCTATGTACTCTTTGATCCTTTTTTCTTCTTCTATCTTTTGAGTTGAGAGTTTTAAAAATTGTTCCATTTACTTCCACTACTGACTTGTTATTCCACATTATTTCATTTTTAGTAATTACCCTAGACTTTACAATAAACATCTGTAAGTTATCACAGTCTGTCCTGTTCTCTCTCTCTCTTCCTCCTACAATTCCAATTACATGTATGTTAGCCCATTTTACTTAGTCCTTTAACTCTTAGAACCATATCACCTCCTTCTAGACTCTTTGGGAAGCTGGACCACTTGTTCATATGAAGGTGGAGTGGATAAGGATGGAAGGAGCAGAGTCAAGCCACAGCAGCACCAGAATTTGACTCCACTGGGCAGGACAGAATTTCAGAGCAGAAGTTCAGCCAGACCAGCAAAGCCCAGGTCCAAAGGCCTCAAGTCTTGAGTCAAACTATTAGCTCAGAGTTGGAGAGAGAGGTGAGTGGGCATTTAAGAAACTCAAGAAGAGTATCATATCCAATTTGACATGGGCAAAGAACAGAAATGGTGTGTCATAGTAGATGGCCACAGGCAGAGATGGCATTGAGAATGTCAGCACCCTATGAGTTCTTAAAAACTGTAAAAAAGACAGGCTTTCAAAAGATGTGGAATGACCAATGTGAACCAAAATATCCAGATTTAAAGAGGTAATAATGCTCCAGATGATATCTGTTACACATGGTAAATTGCTATCTCCTCTACATCTCCCCCTATAAAAATAGGAACCACCTCTGTCTTTTTCACTAAGAGTACTTGACACATGGCAGGTATACAAACATTTTCAAATGAATGATGTAAAATCAGAAACTGTGGGTTAAATCTCAGTCCCACCACTTACTGGCCAAGTCCACTTGAGCAGTTACTCAACATTTTGTATCCCTTACATTCTCATCTATGAAGTGATTGGTCATAATCCCAATTTACAGGGTTGTTGTGATGTTAAATTGGGGAATATATGAATCAGGTATGAATCTCATGCCAAAAACTTAGGGAAACAAGAAATACAGCTTTCTCATTGTCTTTATAAAGGAATTCAGTTTCTATTTCAGCCACCGTTCTGCTGAATGATGGGAATTTATTTTTTTTGACAGTCCAAACTACATTTATTTGTGTATAAAGTGCCAGTTTTATATACAAATCAAGAAGTAAACTTTACTAGCTACTTTGAAACAACAAAGCTGACATCCTCCACCAGCCTGTGGTAATAACTGACAGTTTATCCTGCTGGAGACTGAATCCCCCCACTTTGACCCCAAGATTTCTGCTGCTAAGAGGCATGGTAAAGTCATGTGCAGCCAGCCTGTTTGCCAAAACAAAGCACAGATAAGATCTTTCCCAGGAATCCCACTAGCTTTTGTCTACACTTTCATTCTAGATAAGATTGCTAGCATCATTAATAAACAAGATTGGTTTTGAGGTAGCTACACATCTTAAAGATGCCATTAACGAACATTAGAGACAATGCACGGTGTAGCTGGTTGCTCCACTTCAAGCAGCTGATTTTTTTCTTTTGCTGAGAAGGAAAAAAAAATCAGCAAAGAGCGCACCTTCAGTTCTCTTAGAAGTCAGCATCCAAGGTAAAAGAATTCTCTGTTGGGCTCGACACCACTGCCATCCTCTTGTACTTACCTACTCTCTTCTCAAAGAAGTTAGTCTTCACTTCCAGGGAGATAGTCTCCATAAAGTCAAAAGGATTTTCTACTCTAAAAACCTTGCTAAAATCCAGCTCCAGCATAAGTCTGTCTGCCACAAATTCAATATACTGCTTCATTAAGGTACAATTCACCCCAGTGAGCTTTACTGGCAAGGCCTCTGTGAGGAATTCCTGTTCTATCCTAACAGAATTGATGATGATTTCTTTCACTCTCTGCTCCAAAGGTTTGTGTAGCAGGTGTTTGAACATCAGGCAGGCAAAGTCACAGTGTAAACCTATATCTCTGCTAATAAGTTCATTGGAAAATGTGAGACCAGGCACGAGTCCTTGTTTCTTGAGCCAGAATATCAATGCAAAAGAACCAGAAGATTCCTTCCACGGTAGCAAAGGCTACCACACGTTCTCCACAGGTAGCCTCTTTGTCTCCAATCCAAGGCAAAGCCCAATCTGCCTTCTTCTTTACACAAGGCATCATCTCAATGGCATTGAAGAGAAATTTACTTTCTTTGGAGTCCTTAATGTAAGTGTCAATGAGGAGACTATACATTTCAGAACGTATGTTTTCCATGGCAATTTGGAAGTCATAGAAACAGCGGGCTTCTGTAATCTGAACTTCTTGGCTAAACCGCTCCACCAAGTTTTCATTTACTATGCCATCACTTGTTGCAAAGAAAGCCAGAACATGAGATATAAAATACCTCTCCTCAAGCTCTAGGGCTTCCCAGTGCTGAATGTTCTTAGAGAGACCACCTCCTCAGCTGCCCAAAAGGAAGCCTCCATTTTCTTATACATCTGCCAAATATCATGGTATTCGGTAAAAAAGATGACAAAATGGCGAAGGTTTTCTCTTAGTAGTAGTTCATCCTCCAAGCTGGGGGGCAAGTATCTTAGTTTTTGGCTCGGAGGAGTCCTGGAAGATCCTCCCGGTGGTCTTGCTGGCCAGCACGCGGGGGCCAGCACGTGGGGACCTGATGCTGCAGGTCCACGACGGTGGTGAGCAGGATGCAGATGGAGAGCATGGCGGCATTGGGAAGATCCGGTAGGTGAAGTGGAGCGCAGATCAGGCTGATGGTAATTTATTATCTGCCAATTAAGTGTTCTCTCAGTCATTTCCCTCACCCTCCATTCTCTCCTCCCTGGGTTTAACTCAAGTTCTGGAAGGCTTTCCATTGTGAGAGTGTGTGTCTGTGTAGAGGCACTAAACATCTGCTCCTTAGTAATTCTTACCCTCACACATATTGGCATCTGCTGAGGTCTCTGGCTTCCAGACCGCTTTTGGTCATACAGTTCTTTTAGATTCCAACAAAAAGGCTATTGCTAGTTTCCCAGTAGGGTAGATTAGAGCCACAAGAATCCACACACAAAAAAAGTTCTGGTGCTTCTGAAGCACCTACAGGAAGTGCAAGTGAGATAGAGCAGGGAAGTAGAACAGGGCTCATGTCATCTATATGCTGTTCTTCCTCTTCTTCCAGCCCCTTAATCAATTAAGTAACTTTGTAACCAAGACAAGAGATAGAACTATAGAGTGTAAATAAACCAATGTGGATAAAGAATACTGAGATTTGTATCAACACAGTCATCAAAATAACCCTATTCCTAAAACAAAACTTCAAAGGAATTATGAATCACCTGTATACATCATGCCTTATGCTGACCCCTACCCAAAAGGGTCTATAAAACCCCAAACCCTAAACCATTATACACACCTCCTCTCTGAGGTTATCCATACTTCTGTCTGAGTGTATGCTATCTTTCATCAAATAAACCTTCTTGTTTCATAAGTCCCTTGCACTCATCTCTGAACTCTTTTTCTTGATAAAGACAAGAACTCACCAACCTCCACCTCTGGTGGTAAATCTTTGTGACTTTGCAATTTCACTCAGCTTTCCAGTCTCAATGCAATCCTTTTCTCTCTCCCTGTTTTATTTATTTCAGACCAGTAATGAAGCAGAAGTTCTCAGAACACAATCTCACTCCATACAGTGCTCTGCAGCTCCCCCAAATTCTGGGATGATAGGAATATAATTCCCACACCGTGCAGGTCAAGTGGACAGTGGACAGCAGGTGGCCCTGGTTTCAGGAGTTGGCAAGGGATATTGCCTTATGTGAGGTAAGAGTTCAATGAACTTTTCTTTTCTCCCTCCATTCTTCCTTCCTCTCTACTGTCTGCATAGCTGCTGACATTCACTTCTTCTCTTGCTTTGATGAACTCTTTCCTTGCTGGTACTTGTTTGACCTGATTGAGAATTCCTTCCTGATCAGAGTCAAGAGCCCTCCCCCGTCTGGGTTGAAGTCTTGCCTAGTGTACAGGAAAGGACCTCCCCAGATGCAGCTGCCCAGCAGCACGAGGACCGACCTGAGCTGCCTTTTACCATCTGTCTGGACACAACAATTTCAGCTGTACTGCCTTTCCACTCACCTGGGCCCCCCACAAAGCTTGCAGATTTTTTTCTACTCCCAGAAACTGGCTTTCCTCTACTTTCAGATTCCCTGAGCTGCATGAAGTGTCTGTTAACCATCCCTTCCCATGAAGCCAGTATGGAGACAGGGACTGTGCCACCTTTCTACTGACACTGACACAGCAGTGTCTCAGGCCTTCAGCTCTTCTAACTCTGTATCCTCTTCTCCTAAGGGGGGTTTTGTTTGGTTGGTTTTTATTTTTTCCTGGGGCAGAAAAAACATTCTAACTGATCTTACTGTTTTCTAAAACTTATATGACAAAAGTTACATGTACTGAGTTGCTTCAAGCTCAAGATATTTTTATACTCAAATTTTGAAAATTAACTTTTTTCTCTTAAAATATTATGTTTGCCATGAGCTCAAAAAACTTATTTGGGAGACCTATTTAACTCTCTTCTTTCTATTTCTATTATGACCATTACCCCTTTGCAATGGATACAGAATTTCAATAAGAGGATCATGAGATAAACAGAAATAACTGAAAAAAAATATTGAGAGTATTTGATTAAAATATCAAAGTATTATCCAGTTACATGTATCTAAAAGATGTACAAGAGTATTATTTGGTCATAATTACTTAGCATTGTTTCACTAAAAGCTTTAGAATCAATGCTCTTAATCCTTAATCTTCACATAGTGTAAATACTTAAAGGTCTCTCTTTGTTTCCTTTGTTTTTAGAAAAACCCTTGTTCTTCATTATTAGAGTTCATAACTTCTCTTTTCCTTGCTCTGTGAGGTCAGTCTTAGGAATTAAGCTTCCCTGGAGCAGATTGTAGTTTTCCTAAATACTACACCCATTTCCTGATGGATTAGTTCTGATAGCTCTTCTATATTCCCTTCTGCCTCAATCAAAATATGTGGCTCACTTTCCACACTGTCTTCAAATATATACATATACTATACTCCAGGCAACATAATCTCCTGGTGGGGTATCTATTCACTAATATCTACTGAGAGTCAACCAAATAACATATATTGGGAGGCAGAAAAGTAAGAGTAATAATAGCCGATGCTTGTGGAGGATTACATGTGCCCACTTTTCTTCATGCTTTATAGGCATTACCTCACTCAGTTGTCCCAATTCTTTGAGGTAAATATTGCTATTATCCCCATTTTACAGCTGAGGAACCCAAGTTTCTGAGAGGTTAAGCATCTTGCCACATTTTCCCAGGGAGAGCCAAGATTCCAACCCATGTAGTCCAGCTCCACCTCCCACACTAATTTCCATACCACCTCAGAGCCCAGGAAGTTTGCCAAATTTCTACAGAAACTGGACGGACCCTTAGGTAGAAATGAGTCAAACATAATTGATATTAAGAACTATAGTCCACGTAAGTGCATAGTGACTTCCCTACCATAAAGTACTGCTTTTGGCTACTGAATTGGATCATGACATGGTTCTGAGTGGTCTCCAGCACTTTGCCACAGAGAAGACGCCCCACCTCGGAGCCTGTGTGACCATCCTCTTGGTGGTATATCCTTGTAGTGATGCCGGGGTTCTTGTTTGCTGAGTTGAAGAATGAACTTAGCTGTCTTATCAATGGGTTTCAGCCCTGGGCAAGTTCGCTATGCATTCTGTGTGACCAAAGAAAATGACAGCAAAACGTTCTTGGGGTGAAAGGGTTATACCCAGGTTTATTTCCAGGTGGCAGGTCAGTCACTAGAATCCCATTCACTCAGAGAGAGTCTGTAGGCAGCAAGCCAGTCTCTGTCTCTGGGCCCCTCTGTCTGCACAGTCACCCCACACAGCTGTCCTCTGGGCAACTCTGCACAGTGGTCCAGTACAGTTGTCCTCTGGGCATCTGTCCTCAGTGCTGCCACCACTCCAGCCTCTGCTCTGCTCTCCAGCAGCCTTGCAGCCCTGCCACTGTGTCATGCCCAGAGCACTGGGCAGATCTCTTTTTATAGAGTCAACTTACTCACAGGTGTGCAGTCATCCAGGGCCAGGTGAGAATCCTAGCCACAGGAACTCTCATTTTATCCACACTGCATGCCTCTAGGATTCTCTCCTCTCAATCTATGTGCCCTTAGTCCTCTGCAATGGTTCCTGTGCAAGGAAGCTCGAACATTGTTCTCCAGCCTCTCCAGCAAAAAGTCTTGCAGGCACATAGGCCAGACACATGGCTCTGTCTCTGACCTCTACCTCTTTGGTCTTAATGGCTGGAACTGCTGCTCTGGTTTCAACTGTTGCCATAGCTCCAGTAAGATCATATTTGGCTTCCCATCTAATTTCCTTTCATCTACTCCTGCCCGTATCAAATCAACCCACATCTAGGTCCTTGTAACCCTCACAGGGCCCTGTAAATTCTTCTTGTGAGTAACAGGTCTTATTTCTTTCTGGATTCTCATTGCTTCTGCCTTTCCTAAGTCTGCTACTGTACATGTCACCTCATTTATGGGCTGCCCTAAGTGAGGGGAAATAATGGCCACTAGAGACCCAAAGAGGGATGTAGGAGCTATTTGAAGTACAGTATTTCTCATCCCAGTAGTAAAAATCTCTTCATCTGGGTTATAATTCTCTGGACTACAGATGGCATTTCTTATGCCTAGCTCTCATAGCACCTGTTGGAGCTCAGCATGTCTGCCATCTAACAGGAGAGGCAGATCACCCAGATTGGGCCACATAGCACAAAGTGCAGCCATAAGCCAATAGAGGAGGGAGTGACTCCCTGGGGTCTGATGTGCATTTTGCAATTGCTGCCTCAAGGCAGGCTGCACTGTCAGGGAAGACAGCTTTCGCATCTCTGATCCCGACAGAACAATTCCATCCACCCCTAAGTCCCACAGATGCAGGAGCCAAGCTGATATAGACTTGGAAGGCTTCTGCCTAAACCGGGAGCCCAAATCCACCATCTCAGCCTGAGTATAGGGGTGGACCATAGAGTGCTCCATGACCTGGGAAAGGGGCTGCTCCTCTCCTTGGGGAACTTTCAGCTGCTGGGTTTTTATTTTCTTTACAACCACTAGGCATGCTTTCAATACAGGAGGCGCCAGTGCCTTTGGCACCACCCCTTCATCCTTCCCCAGCTCCTCCATTTCTGGGACTGATGGCACCTTTCTCTTCCCTCCCCCAAGTGCCTCCTCTACTACAATCCTTACCTTTTCTACTGTGCCTCACAGCAATGCTACCTTTGTCTTCAGAAGGTCTCTTATCTTCAGCTCAATGCTTTGCAGCTGATGTTCTTGTGCCACCTCCGCCTGTGCTTCAATCAGGAGTTCATCCTTTTCCTTGATGGCCTCTTCCTCCTTCAGAACACCTGGCAGCGCTGCCGTCTCGTCTCCAATGGCACCTTGCTGTCGGCGCTCTTGTGCTGCATCCTCCCGCATCAAGGCCATTCCTTCCTCA